CAGCTCTGGAGCTATCGTTCATCATATTGATTTCCCGACCTAGGTACACGTAGCTGGAGCATTCGGTGATGTTCCGTTCTCGTTGAGCGTGAATGGGGCATCAGGAACCAATCCGTTTCTCATAAACATCGTCTTCGTTAGGTTCAGCTGTAGACCAACCTTACCACAGGCGCAGTCGAAATCAGCCAGCATTCGCTCCGCTTGCTCGATGTTCGGCGTTATAAGAACGATGTCGTCAGCAAAACGAAGGTGGTGTAGTTGCCGGCCGTCGACCTTCACTCCCATGTCTTCCCATTCCAGTTGACGCATGACGTTCTCGAGAGCGGCGCTGAAGAGTTTGGGCGAGATGGTGTCGCCCTGTCGGACCCCTCTCTTGACGTCGATGATGACCTCCTTGTAGAATGGTGAGATTCTGGTCGTAAAGTTGCTGTAGAGCTCACGAAGAATCTTGATGTACTGAGTAGGGACGCCCTGGTTGCCCAAGGCTTCGATGACCGCTTCTGTCTCCACAGAGTCGAAGGCCTTCTTCAAGTCGATGAACGTGAGACAAAGCGGCATCTTGTACTCCCGTGAAACTTCAATGAGTCTCAGTAACCATGCCCTGCAAAATTGCAAAGATGGTTCTAGTACCAGCGTCAGGCCCAGGTTGACAGGCCGGCTGATGAACACCCCAGTCACACCAATCATGTCTAAAAGTTGTCAAAGAATCAGTGATAAAGCTAGGACGTCACCCGGAAGTGGCGCGCAGAACCCCCGCCCGAGTTCTGTGGTCAGTATGCGAGGGCTACCGAGGAGGGAACGGCCTCGGCCAAAGAAGCTAGTTCGAATTGGGACTCTGAACGTAGGATCGCTAACTGGGAAGTCCCGAGAGGTTGCTGATCTGATGACGCGCAGAATATCCAAGTCCTATGCCTTCAGGAGACGCGATGGAAAGGTGCTAAGGCCAGGGAAATCGGGGAAGGTGTCAAACTCTACTACAATGGGGAAGACACCAAGCGGAACGGCGTGGCCATAGCTGTAGCGGAGCCGCTCCATGAGAATAAACACGAAGGAGAGGTACTGGACAATACTGTTCGTGTACGCTCCGCAGACCGGATGCCCCGAGAGTGAGAAGGACGAGTTCTACCTGAGCCTTGACGATGCCATCAGATCGATTCCGGAAGGCGATTACCTGACCATAGCAGGTGATCTGAATGGCACGTCGGCAGTGACAGAAGAGGCCTGGAAAGGGTGCACGGAGGTAGAGGAATAGGAGTGAGGAACGCCGAGGGAGAGAGGGTCCTGGACCTGGCTACGGTCCACGATCTGCAGCGTTCTTCGCGAAAAGGGAGACTCAGAAGGTCACCTACAGCAGTGGATCGAGACAAACAGAAAGTCGACCATGTGCTCGTCAGAAGATCATCCCTCAAGAACTGCCAAGAACACCAAGGTGCCCTCTGGTCCAGCACAGGCCACTCCTGGCAGACATAGCCATGGAGCTCCCCAAGAAGACAAGGGTAAGAACCGAGAGGAGAATCCGGTGGTGGAAGTTGCACCGAGCAGAGAAGAGCGACCTCAAGCGAAGGATAATGGAAGTTGGTCTCCCAGATCCTGAGGGACCAGTGCAGCAGACTTGGGGCAATGCAGCTGAGATCATCCTACGATGCGCCAAGGAGGTACTGGGCGAGACGCGAGGTGGATTCAGAGGAGACAAGGCAGCGTGGTTCTGGAACGAGGAGGTCCAGCGAGTCGTGAAGCAGAAGAAGGAAGCATACAAGCGCTGGCAGAAGACCGGAGCCCCGAGGACCTCGCTGCCTACAAGAGTTGCAAGAGGCTCGCTAAGGAAGCCGTCGCCAAAGCCGTCGCCGCATCCATCTCCGTGCCAAAGCAAAGAACACGGAGATGGACGCCTTGTACGAGAAGTTGGAGAGCCAAAACGCAGAGAAGTTCGTCTTCAGACTGGCCAAAGCCCGGCATCGGGCTACCCAAGACATCAGGGTGGTGAAGAGCGTGAAGAGCAGTAACGGTGCCATCCTGAGGAAGCCAGCTGAAGTCAGGAGGAGGGGAGGAGTACTACAACGGCTCTCACTCTCAAGTCAACGAAACAGTAAGAATCGAACGCCCGGTGTTAGCACGTTTGCCTACCATGTACTGCCGTTATATCGACGACTGTTTTGTTATAACATCAACTCAAGCCGAAATGGACGAGTTGTTCAACATACTTAACAGTCAGTCGCAGTACATCAAGCTCACCGAGAAGTCCCACGCGATGGTTGGTTACCTTATCTGAACACACAGGTCAAGGTCACCAATGGCTCATACAATGTGAAATGGTATAGAAAAGGAAGCTCCAAAAATATCATCATTCACGCACTGTCGGCACACCCAGAGCTGTTAAACGAGCAGTATTGCGTAACATGTACAAAACGGCTGTGGAGGTGTGCACCGGTGACGAGGAGCGAGAAGAGTCCAGAAGATTAGCCTCATCAAATTGCTAATCTTAATGGTTACACAGCACGGCAGCGACGGCAGTGGGAGAGACGAAGCAGACCGAGGCATTTTCCATACGAAGTTCAGAATAAGATATATCTTCAACTTCCGTTTATATCTGATCATTTTAGCGCAGTTATACAAGGAATGTCTAAGAAGAGCAGATTTGGCCAATGATGTCTTCTTGGTCAATACACCAAGAGACAACATCAAACATCAATTGGTCAGAAATCGTCTCTATGACCGAATTGCATCATGGATAACTGCGTGATCTGCCCGTATGGAAAAGTAGGAGACTGTGCACAAAGATCTGTGGTTTACCAGCTTCAGTGTTCAACATGTGATGCCTTGTACATTGGAGAAACTGGGAGACAACTAGGTATTCGTATAAAGGAGCATCTAGCTAGTAAACGAAGGGAAAATTTGGTTTCACCGCTGGGCAAACACAGAAGGGAAAATCATGGTGGTTGTGACTTTGACGTTAAATGCACAATACTGGCCTACGAGAGCGATATCGGTGCTAGGAAAACCCTTGAGGCCTTTTGGATAAAACAACGAAATCCAAGTATGAATAACAGGAATGAGTGCATCTCAATAACTGCCGATTTCTTGCCCTACATCCCTCTATGTGAATGTGTGCATCTCAATAACTGCCGATTTCTTGCCCTACATCCCTCTATGTGAGCTATGATAGTGAATACGGAGCGCACTGCACGTTCCTCCTTTATAAGCAGTGTGCGGTCAGTTAGTTTCACTTTCTGTTCACTCTGCAAAGCGCTGAGGGAGGCCGTTGAGCGGAACATTGGTGGAATTAAGGTGAGAAACCGTTCTTGGAGTTAGCATACTATGGTTCGCTGGTCTGAGTGTTGTAAGCTTAGCGCATATTTGTGTTGAGCGGATAGGTTAAGTTCGTAAAAGTTTCGGAACGCTTTCAGGCCTTTGAAAACGACGATTTCGTCGAAACGTCAGGCAATAAATCTTCCACCATACAAAACCTGTCAGGCACAGAAGAAATAAAAGACATCTAAAAATGCCGAGGTTTCAAGAAAGACGGACATGGAGCCTACAGAAAAAAAGCGTTGACCCTGTCAACAAGCCTTCCTCGACCTAGAAAAGGCGTTCGACCGGCTACCGCGAGCAGTGCTATGGAGGTCGCTCAGGGAACGAAACGTGCCAGAACACCTGATCTCGCTGGTGAAGGACATGTACGAAGGAGCCAAAGCAGCTATACGCACCCCACACGGCCTAGACGTCACGGTTGGTGCACCAAGGGTCAGCTCTGAGCCCGTTCCTCTTCCTCCTAACACTAGATGTCATGGTGAAGGGGCTCATGGAAGGACCACTGAAGACCATCCTCTACGCTGACGACATGATAGCGGATAGCAGAGAAGAACTACAGGCCAAGGTGCAGAAATGGCAGAAAGTCCTGGCAGAAGGCGGGCTCCGGCTGAATGTCAAGAAGACCAAGTTCCTGAGCTCTGAGAAGGGCACAGAGCCGATAGTGGAATACATAAGAAGGGTGGAGGACTTCATTGGAAGCAATCTAACCGCCGACGGCGATGTGGATGAGGCAGTAAAGGCAAGGATCAACGCGGCATGGATGAAATGGAGGGAGTCCACTGGAATCCTCTGCGATCGAAGGTGCTCCAGAACGCTCAAAGGGAAGGTGTACCGAACAGTGGTAAGGCCTGCGATGCTCTACGGCAGCGAGTGCTGGCCCCTGAACAAGAATCACGAAAGGCAGCTTCACTCCGCTGAGATGAGGATGCTGAGATGGGCCTGCGGCTGGACGCGACTGGACAGGTTAGAAACGAGGAGCGGTCATGCAGACTGCCCCTGTCCAGCTGAAGGTACGGGAACAGCGTCTGCGATGGTATGGGCATGTGCTAAGGAGGCCACAGGATCATCCGATAAGAACAGCGATGGACGAAGTGCAAGGCAAGCGACCGCGAGGAGCCCCAAAGAAGAGGTGGAGAGACGTGATCAAGAAGGACCTAAGTGAAGTCATGGCCACAGCAGAAGATGCCCTGGATAGAACAACATGGCGACGACTGACAAAACAGCGGACCCTGCGAGGGCACGGAGCAAATGCTAGGGTTCCCTGTTGCATACCCTTTATATCACAACACGCAAACAACATCGGCGCGTTTAGTAATATATGTGCATGTCACGATGGTCCGAATAGACGCCCATGATTTTTGATGTGGAGGACATTCATCACTGACGACATAAAAGCAGTTAAACACTGGTAGACTATCGATTCATCCACTTACGTCAGGAAAAAGTCTGAATAAGCTTGGAAAGCTTTTAGCCTTTGTTTCACAGGCCACTAGAGAGCTACATTGCTGTATTGAATATTGAAGTTCGTCGCGAATAAGCGAGTAATTGTTTCATACTTTCGTAATTGAGTGGAAGACGCCACAGGCGCAGAAGAGAACGTTTTATTGAACCTAAAGAATTTCAGCTTTCGTTGAATTTTCGAAGTTATAGCGCAGCACAAATCGGACACCGTTGCAGAATTGGTCCACTCATCACAAGCACAGTCCCATGGCTCGATCACATCCCGATCCAAGACATTGTGTGCACGGGTTTCCTTTTTTGTAAACGACATGATCCACCACGTTCCCTCTGCAAATAGAAAATGGAATAAAAAATGAAAGCGAATGGAATGATATTTGTGATGTTTTGTATGAAACTTCGAAGACACTTCCCGCTGTCTGACGCGGTCATCAAAAATGAAAGCGGAAGTGCTGCCTGTTGTTTATCGCGGCTGTAAACCTTCAGTTTCCGGTAGATCAGATTGATCTTACTGTAGTGGAACCAAGACGAGATGCTTCTTTTGGCGACCAAGGTATCAGTCACGATATCGTAGCAGCCTTATGATTCTTTACCGGTAAGGTGCCTATGAGGCCGGGAAGAGGGAGACAGAGTAAGGCGTTCACATTTCTGACCTTTTCTTTCTATTTTATTGACAGCATCTCACCCACTGAGCAAGCCAGAGAGGGTCATTAGTTGAAGGGCTTAGAAAACCTTCCTCGGACTTCCTTCACGCCTTCTCTTTATTTATTTCTTCTTTTATTTCCAGCGGTGACCTATCGTCATGCCTAGCCTTCAAGTGACCACGATAATCTGACCAATCGTTTTCATAGAATTCATTGCTGAAGTTCAAACTAAACTTACACTGGCGAGTAGCGACATACTACAAAGTATGACTTGCCGCATCTCCCAACAGCACAGCCGAGACTATTTGTGGTTGACCAAATCATCTGCATAACATGACAATTTACAATTGTAAATGGCTTAAATGTACGCTTCAGAATCAAGCCGAGCGGTTCTTGCACATTACAATAAAAGCACTCTTGCGAAGCGAGCAGACAAGAAGAAAGAAGAAAGAAAAAGGAGAAAAAGGGAATATTCTCTGCTAATCCGCTGAAGTAATTATTTACCTACTAGAGGGCATTGAGAGATTGAGCACTGATTAAAGAGGACAAGTGAGAGAAAACAAGAAATGAAGGAGAAGGATAAGAGCATACAAACATGCTGCGAACGAGAGTAAGTGAGAGTGGCTGAAGCAGACTTCGCAAAGCCGGCACTCTGCGCGCTCTAGAAGAGCGACCTACATGAGGTGTCCACAGACGTCTGCGACCTTCGTGTACAGTGTATCTAGCCACTAATGGATTACTCAGTACATCATGAGATAAGCCTTTGAAGCAACAGACTCAGCAGAGTTTTTAATTTCGAATAATATGGTGAAAAGTACACTAGCCTGGTTAAGAAAATCTGAAGAGTTAGTGAACAAAAACTCTTTGAAAGACGATAGAAGCCAGTCGACTGCTCTCAAAGTAGGCGGGACTTACAAAGTTGTGGGCGCATGCATAGTGGGTCAGTAAATAATGGTACGCTTCGCAACTTATCAAGGATGCCTCGCTTGAGAAAACGTTAATTACGTGCGAAAATTCCACGGATAGCTGTGAAGTGACCTCTTTCCCCTTCTCTAAACTAGAGGGTGCCTGTCCTAGCGGGTCATCCCGGGGACCGTGCCGTTTCCCCCCACGACACGGCGCCGCTCCCTCGAGGCATCTACGCAGCACAACATAAGCATGCACAATACAGTGGACGGTATAGCGCACAAGTCGGGCCCCTTGCCCTGGACGCTCCCTGACCACTAGTTCCACACATGATAATACAACACATATAAATACTCACATTTATTAGAGGTCCTTTCCTGAACAATCCATCGTCCTACTCTTACGTCCTGCCGGCGTCGGATCTGACCATGTCCTCGGAAGGGTCCTTCGCGGTAATCCTACACTGCACTCTGCCTCCTCCCTCAGATGTTATTGAGGGCCCTACAGCCGATCACACCATCGGGCCTAAGCGAGGCGAACCTCGATAGGGACGCATGGTGTGAACTTACCGATGCTCCGCCAAGGGAGACTACCGTGCGCCCGACCGCACGGCAGCATGCGCCCATGAAGTGCTCTGCGCACTTCATGTGTCGCCCTTGGCCTCCTGGCGGCCGTAGCCTGAGGCTCCCCCTCACGGAGAGGAAGTACGCCTCAACCGGCAGAGGCGACCGCATGACGACTGGCCTCGGCTGGGGGCGGGGCCACTACGTGGCGCACGCTTCTAGGGCCGCGCGCGCCCGACGTAAATGGCCATGGAGCGACAGAGCCCAGGCGTGCAGCGCGCGCCTGGACGACCGTCGCGTATCGCGACAATCTGTATTGGTCACGTAGAAACAGTGGAAAATTGGAAAGACATGAAAAAATCTCTTGATCCATATCATCGTGATCACCAATCGACTATTACTAATTAGTTATAAAACAATTGGTATTGAGAATCTACAAAACTACACATGAACTTCTACTGTGAAACAAAGCGTAAGTATTAGATCAATGCATCAAGAAGACTCGCATGCTTTCGGATTAGCACCTCACGTCTCTAGCTAAAAGTTACTGTCCTGCCAACAGTGAGTCAGCTAGAGACATGACCTTCGTGTGCCTCCTGTATGTTCAAAACCTATAGCTACCTTGCCCATACTAATTTGCGAGACCCGTAGTAGAACGGACCACCTTGAGGAGAGGATTGACAGGTACTTGAGCTTTTACAGAAGCAGTATATATGCAAAAGTAAGCTTAAATGTAGTGCTGTAATGCCTTCTAGTGCACCTCCCAGTTTTTCAGAGATTTCAAACATTTCGTTTTATGTAGCCCCTCAGACTTTTCTCCCCGGCGACACTTTCTATGTTATTTATGCCACTCAAACTTCCTTCCTCGCACCAGCATCCAAGTTTTACGTCAACCAGTTCTCTCAAACCTCCCCTCTTAAACAGCACCTCCTTTTTGCATTGCTCCGAAATTGAGGCATTTTGTAGAAGAACGTCTCGCAACGAAATCTTTATAAACTACAGTATGTTTGTTAATTTGAGTAGTAGACAAATACACTGCGTTGCAAAAATATAAATCCACCTGGAAAGTTCTTGAAAATTCGCATGATAGGGTGTTTCTGAAAAAGCCTTTGAAAGAAAAATGTGCTCAATATAAATATAATTTCGAGTGTAAACACCAACTTCCATTTCGAAAACACGAAAATTTTTTATTTTCATTTTTCAGAAAAGGGCCACTTTGCCGATTGTGCAAAAATATAAATCCACCCCATGTTTCTCGGTTGAACTTCATTGTTATTTGGCGTAACTGTCAGGTTGTTTCCACTTCCTCTTTCTTAGGTGATGACGGAAGTAACACCGCTGTCGGACTCAGAAAAAAGAAATCTACAAAATAGTGGGGAGATTTGCCGTGCAGTCAAATCGCGCGTGATTTGAGCCCCGTTATGTGGTTGTTAAGCATTTCGTCAAGAATCCTGCAGCATGTGGAATCCAGAAGAGCACTGAACCCTTTTCTTCGCGTTTCGGTTGCGATGACCGTAGTGTTATGGGAAAAGCAGCCGATTCTCCCAAGGGGTGCTCAGGAACTCAACCTTCAAAAAAACCTAATTTTTGAAAGACACCGTTTGGCGTGTGTTAGAGGAACTCTGAGACCACTGTTCGACGGAAAATGAGTATGGCACAGTTGAAGACACAAAGCCATCCCAAAAATCAAGCCAACTCTTCCATAATGTGTGCATGCTGCGCCAGCTGCATTAAGTTCGGCTTTCTACACGCTACTTTTTACTGTCTGTCTGAATTTCTCTCAGTTTTTTTTTCTGCAGTGTGTTTGGCAGAGACAGGAACTCATATTGAAAAAGGAAACCAGTAAGAAAAGTGAAGACAGCCATCAAAAGGTACTGCGCGGCCAATATGGCCTCGCTCCGGCCAGATCGACCACTGATCTTGGGAAACTTGGCTTGATTTTTGCGATGATTCCGGATTTTTAAATGTGTCCTACTCATTTTCCGTTGAACAGTGGTCTCAGAGTTCCTCTAACACACGCCAAACGGTGTCTTTCAAGAAATTAGGTTTTTTGAAGGTTGAGTTCCTGAGCACCCCTTGGGAGAATCGGCTGCTTTTCCCATAACACTACGGTCATCGCAACCGAAACGCGAAGAAAAGGGTTCAGTGCTCTTCTGGATTCCACATGCTGCAGGATTCTTGACGAAATGCTTAACAACCACATAACGGGGCTCAAATCACGCGCGATTTGACTGCACGGCAAATCTCCCCACTATTTTGTAGATTTTGCCTTTTTTCTGAGTCCGACAGCGGTGTTACTTCCGTCATCACCTAAGAAAGAGGAAGTGGAAACAACCTGACAGTTACGCCAAATAACAATGAAGTTCAACCGAGAAACATGGGGTGGATTTATATTTTTGCACAATCGGCAAAGTGGCCCTTTTCTGAAAAATGAAAATAAAAAATTTTCGTGTTTTCGAAATGGAAGTTGGTGTTTACACTCGAAATTATATTTATATTGAGCACATTTTTCTTTCAAAGGCTTTTTCAGAAACACCCTATCATGCGAATTTTCAAGAACTTTCCAGGTGGATTTATATTTTTGCAACGCAGTGTATTTTTTCAATGTTATTAATAAACGTTTGCTTTCTCTATTGTTGCGTTTCACAAAACTACTACAGATGTCTGGGTAGCGTTGTGACCGCTGAGCCGTCACCATTAATGAGGTCACTTTGCTCCTAGTGCGCGGAAATTTGGCTTGTACCATGATTGACCTAACCACACATAGTCGATCGTCCGATCATAACAATCGTAACGATCAGACGACCGACTATCCTGAGTATCGATCGTATGGCCTGTCCTGGGACAGGACGATCAGTACCATCCAATGCTGTACGAGAGCGACGGCCATGCATGCACACGCTTTATAAGTCCCGCCCACTTTGAGGGCGTTCGACTCCCTTCTATCGGCTTTCAAAGGTGAATTCTTTGCATAGTAACTCTTCGAATGTTCTTGACTAGACTGGTGCACTTTCCACCCCGTTATTATCGAAAGTATAAAACACTGCTGGGACTGTTGCGTTAAGTGTGGCGATGCATACGTCTTCTTATAGTGATTGCGAGTTTCTTATGAACACAACCCGGGTCTACTTCAAGTGGATGGATCACCTTGTTGTATGATAGAGCTGCTCATTAAGGCAGATCTCCGTATTTTCTGGCGCTGTGTGCGAGAAACACGCCACGATGATTCTGGTAAATAAGTAAATGCTAGCATGACCAGTTTCATTATTTTTTTATAGAATGTCTCTGCAGTACACTATGTTTGAGTTTATATTTATACTAAGTTTTATTGACGAGAGTGCCAACTAACAATAAATGTCAAAGAAAATGGATTTGCGTTCATGAACGTTTGTAAGACACACAGATGGTTCTGTTTGAAGTCGGTTTCGTAGCGATGTTCCCTTTCGTCTCGTCTCAAGCAAAGGAGTGGTTAGTAGGTAGTAATGGGTATGCCCCAAGCAGTCGTGCACAGAAACAGCACGATTGTCCAACCCACAAATCCTAGATTTAAGAGCCGGAAAGACCAAAAAAAGCGTTTGTTACTGTGACCAACACATAAAATTCAGAAAATGGCTAGTACTAGTTCAATTTTGATTTTCTGCCGCACAACTGTCACGCGTTGACTCCCACAAATCCTATCCGTAGCCTCATCGTGGCGTGGGAGTGGCAACAGCCTCGGCTGGCTAACGCGGAGGGTGTCTCTCGAGGATAGAAGAAGCAGAACTTCACTCAAGAGATTGTCTCAAATTCTGCACTACTATGATCAATGGATTTTTCGAGCATCCCGATCAATGCTAGGTTACCCACCGTAATGGGTCATGC